TACATAATTATTTTGGATCCTGATTTACAATAGAGGACAAGTATAGGATGGCAGCCATCTCAAGGCAACAAATATTGAACAAATGACTAGGATTGCTAAAATTAACGCAAGTAGAATAACAGCAATTAAGAAAATAATAGTAGTGAACAGCAACCAGAAAGTAGGTGAGAACATTCCAAATACCCAAATTAAAATCTCTGAAAGTTCTCCTAATTTGGGAACTGCTTCTTTAAACTGAAAATTTGCACCTGCAACTATAATTTAAGAAAGACAAGAAGAATGAGGATAACATGCCAATTAGTCATTGAGTCATACAATGTAGAAACAGGCCCTTTGGCCCATCACATCCATGCCAATAAAACACCAAACTACATTTAACCCATTTACCTTCACTTGGTCCATAGTCTACAATGCCTGGAATTTTAAGTACTTATCTAGATATTTTTTAAATGTTGAGAGAGTACCTGCCTCCATGACCTTCTTAGACAGCATGTTCCATATGTCTACCACCTTCTGTGTGAAAAACATTTTCTCAGATCCCCTCTAAATCACTTGTCCCTCACCTTAAAGGTATGTATTCTGGTCTTAGACACGTCTACCATGAGGAAAAGATTCTCACAATATACTCTGTCTATGCCTTACATAATTTTGTATACCTCAATCAGATCCCTCCTCAGCCTCTTCTGCTTCAAGGAAAACAAACACAGCCTATCCAGTCTCTCCTCATAACTGAGACTTTTCATCTCAAGCAACGTCCCGATGAATCTCCTCTGCACCCTCTTCAGTGCAATCATGTGTGGTGACCAGGCCTGCACAGAGTATTTCATCTGTGACCTAACCAATATTTTATGAAGTTATAACAAGGTTTCCTTGCTCCTGCATTCTATGCCCTGGCTAATGAAGGCAAGCATCCCATATGCCTTCTTCACTAACCTGTTGATGTGCTGACACCTTCAGTGATATATGGACTTGTAGAATACGGTTCCTTTGTTCCTCAATACTCCGTATGGACCTACCAATCATTGTGCATTTCCTTCCCTTACTAGACCTCCCAAAATGCATCACCTCACACTTATTGGGATTAAGTTTCATCTACCATTGTTCTGTCCAATTTACCAGCTGATCAATATCAGGCTGTAGCCCGAGACAATCATCTTCACTATCAACAACTGAGTAAGATAAGGGCCCATGGTGTTAGAGGCAAGGTACTAGCATGGATAGGAGATTGGCTGTCTGGCAGAAAGCAGGAAGTGGGGATAAAAGTGTCCTTCTCAGGATGGCATCCAGCAACAAGTGGTGCCTGCAATGGTCAGTGTTGGGACCACAACTTTTTGCTTTATACATTGATGATCTAGATGAAGGAATTGAGGGCATTCTAGCTAAGTTTGCAGATGATACAACGATAGGTGGAGGGACAAGTAGTATTGAGGAAGCAGGGAGGCCGCAGAAGAATTTAGACAGGTTAGGACAGTGGGCAAAGAAGTGGCAGATGGAACACAATGTAGGAATGTGAGGTCATGCACTTTGGTAGGATGAACAGAGTCATAGACTATTTTCTAAATGGGGAGAAAATTCAGAATTCTGAAGTGCAAAGAGACTTGGAAGTTCTAGTCCAGGATTGTCTTAAGGTAAACTAGCAGGTTGAGTCGAGAGTTAGGAAGGCAAATACAATGCTGGCATTTATTTCGAGAGGACTAGAATATAAAAGCAGGGATGTAATTCTGAGGCTTTAAGAGACTCTGGTTAGACCACATTTAAAGTATTGTTAGCAATTTTGGCCCCCACTCCTCAGGAAGGATGTAGTGGCCCTGGAGCGGGTCCAGAGGAGGTTCATTAGAATGATCCCAGGAATGAAAGGCTTAACATGTGAGGAACGTTTGAGGACTCTGTGTTTATGCTCGATGGAGTTTAGAAGGATGAGGGGCGATCTAATTGAAACTTAAAGAATACTGAATGGCCTGGACAGAGTGGACATTGGGAAGATGTTTCCAATAGCAGGAGAGACTAGGACCTGAGGGCACAAGCTTGAGTAAAGGGAAGACCCTTTAGAATGGAGATGAGGAGGAACTTCTTCAGCCAGAGAATGGTGAATCTATGGAATTCACTGCCACAGAAGGCTGTGGAAGCCAGGTCACTGAGTATATTTAAGACAGAGATAGATAGATTCTTGATTGTCAAGGGGATCAAAGGTTACAGGAAGAAAGCAGAAAAACGGAGTTGAGAAACTTATCAGCCACGACTGAATGGCAGAGCAAACTCATTGGGCCAAAATACCTAATCTCTGCTCCTATGTCTTATAGTCTTATATATCCGCTAGGGCCCAAGCAATCTTCCCTCATGCCTCCCATAGCAGCTTGGGATACATCTTATCAGGCCCTGGGAGTTTATGCACCTGTAAACCTACTAAAGCATCTACCACCTCTTTATTCATAGAATCGTAGAATCCCTACAGTGTGGAAACAGGCCCTTTGGCCCAACAAGTCCACACCAAACCTCAGAGCATCCCACCCAGACCCATCCCCCTATAACCCACCTAATCTACACCGCCCTGAACACTATGGGCAATTTAGCACGGCCAATCCACCTAACCTGCACATCTTTGGACTGTGGGAGGAAACCGAAGCACCCGGAGGAAACCCACGCAGACACAGGGAGAATGTGCAAACTCCTCACAGACAGTTGCCCGAGGCTGGAATCGAACCCGGGTGCCTGGGGCTGTGAGGCAGCAGTGCTAACCACTGTGCCATTTTAAAACCGTGATGTCCCAACTGATATCCTGGCTACAATGTCTTTCTCCTCTGTTAACACATATGAGAAGTTTTAATTTAAGACCTCACACATGTCCACTAGCTCCATGCAAAGTTGCCCCTTTAGTCTCTAATAGGTCCCACTCATTCCCTAGTAATCCTCTTCCTCTTAATATACTTATAAAAGCCTTGGGATTTTCCTTGATCTTCATGGTCCCTCGTTGCCCTCCTAATTTCCTTTTAAACCAAACTCCTTTGCCAGTCCTGAATACTACTTTCAGAAGACTTCTACTTTCCAAATGTAGACTATCTGCGAGTAGTTGCTTCCAGTCTATGTTTGCCAGATCCTGTCTAAAGATATTGAATTTGTCCTTCTGCCAATTTGGACGTAACGTCTGCATTGTCTTACTCTTTTCCATAATGATTTTGAAACTTACAGAGTCATGGTCACTATCCCCAAAATGTTCATCCACTGAAACTTCAACTAGTTGACTAGCTTGATTCCCTAGGATTACATCTAGGGCTGCCCATATCTAATAGGACAGTCTACATACTAGCACAAAAAGCTCTCCTGGATGCAGAAGAGCCTTTTATCAGAAAATGACTAGAATTTATAATTAAGGATAGAATGACAAAATTCAATCTTGCAAGCAGGTTCTCTTGCAATGGTATAATTTGATGTTTCTACCAGTGTCTTGGTAATGTCCCTACCTCTGGGCTAGAAGGTTTGTGTTCAAATCTCACTGACCACAGAACTGTATTGCAACATGTCCAGACTGACTGATTAAATTGTAATTTCACCAATGGCAGTGGTATAAATTCCAGCCTGATCAAGAGACTGGATCACGAATGGAATCTACAATTGTGATTTTGGCAGTGGTATCACGTATAACAAATTGCAAAGATGTAAACTCCTACTGTCAGATGTGTGGGAATCCTTCATGTCAAGAGTTTTCTCTCCTTTCCATGTTGCTGATTTTGTAAGTGATGAGAAAAAATTTCATTCTTTATAAGGTCCCATAAAGTTCTTCATATGGTCCATTTGTTTGATACCAAATGTCTGATAAATTGTTCGTCATTACTTTTGGCAGATAGTTTCTGCAAAGTTAAGAGACCCATAGCATGACATACTGAATGCTCTTATTTTTGTTTTGCTTGCAGAAGTTGAGGATTGATTACGTGGAAGCTAGCCATCTTCAGCATTTCATTGCCTTAATGTGCAGTCCTCCACATGGAGTATTAAAAGACAATGAATGTAAAAATCAATTTATTCATCTATCACAACCCATAATCATGCAAGTACACGAAGAAGGAACAGAAGAATATGTTGATGGGAGACCTGTATGGAGCATAAATAGTGACATCAACCTTTTGGGCCAAATGGCTAGCTGTGATGAAATTGATCTGAAATACTAACCCTGTTCCTATCCTCAAATGCTGCTCGAGTGGCTGAATTTTCATTTTTGTTCCCATTTCAGATTTCCAGAATCCAGTGTATTTTGCTTTTGGTCAATTTCAGTGCTGTAGAATTCCATTCGGGTCATCAAAATGAGCCTGATTCTGACCTCAACATCTATGATGTTTCCAGCAAAAGGCCATTGGCTGAAATTGTATGTGGAAACCTTGACTGACCCACATTCCTAAGACTGACTGCAACACTCCTAAGTTAACACAGCTTAAATTAACCAAGTTAGCAGACAGCACAATTCAAAGCTTGGATTTCATGGACAAAGAAAGAAACAAGGCAAAAGCAACTTTCATGGTTCAGAACATTTTCCAAATCCAAATGATATTTTAGTAATTGTCACATAAGCAAACTTAGTGACCAATTTAAGCGCATGAAGTTTCCACAAAATGCAATTAGCCAAGTGACTATCCTGCTTTTACGGTATTGGATTGAGGGATTACATGTTGACTAAGACAATGCAAGAAATTTCCTGCTCTTTTAAAGCTGCCACTTATGGTACTACTTCATAAACCATCAGAAAAATAGCACCTTAGGACATGTATATTATCTTCACACTAGAATTTAGATGACATGTTCAACTACTGGAGTGAGGCTTGAACCCAATCACCTTCTCTTCTCTGAGGAAAGAGTCAAATCAATCTGTATAAAGTACATGTTGTGTTTGTTTATAGTTAGCAATAGTGAAGGTGTGGTCACACTCTGGAGACTTGGTACCATCCTGAATAACAAAACACAAGTGACGTTAATGGCATGGGAAAAATATTGTAAATGAACACAAAGTATACCTGTCATTACAGTCAGTGTAGAATCATCTTTTGCAGCTTGTTCAAGTGCTTTCATAATTTCTTCATACATCTGAATGAAAGGACAATTGTGATATATGTATAGTCATGAATGTGGTATGCACACTTTAGTAAGAAATCAATCATCAAATATAAATTGTTCGAAGTATTATTAAAATACATTTAGATGGCTACTTAGGATACAATTACTGCTTTGCATTTATATTGCACTAATGCAGTAAATCATCTCACGGTGATTCACAAAAATGTTATCATACAAAATTTGACAGTGAACCACATAAGGAGATGTTAAAGATGGTGACTAGAAGATGGAGTAAAAAGTTAGGTTTAAGGTGCATGTTACAAAAAGAATACTTTGGGAGGGAGGGAAGAAAAGTTCCAGAATTAGGGTCTTGGTGGCTGAAGGTTTGGCTGCTAATTTTGCAGAAATTATAATTGATAATCAACAACATACATTATTTGAACATCAGGAGTAACTGCTTTATCATATATAGCCTTTAAAATGCACGTACATAATTGTAAATTTTACACGTTTCACACAATTTTGACAATTTCATAAAACTATTTGGAGAATATATAATTTAGTTACAGTGGAAAAGACTTAAGGGGCGGAATGGTGCACTCTTTTTATTTAAAATAAAAAGAAACACTTAAATAATGTAAAACACAACCAAGCCCTTTTGGGAGAGGGATTATGCCGTAAATTAACATACAATACTTTCTCTTCTGATAGTTGCACACTGAAACCCCATCTATAGGAATGAAACAATAAGAAATTTTCAGATCAGCAGGATTTTGCTGCACAGATGGTCAACCTCTCATTGGAAGAACAATCAGGAGATATTGGGAAGACTGAATCCATTGCCGCCATTTGCCATCACACATTTTCATTGCAACCAATTCCATCCCTGTCCCTGACTACTGTGAGGTTGAACGAGATTGTTCATGATTATGGTGCCACATTGACCAAGATAAACTTATATCCACACCATCACTAAGACTACCTACTTCCACTTCTGAAAATTTTCAGACTTCAATCCTGCTTCAACTAGTCTGCGCTAAAACACTCATGCATGACTTTTTTTACCTCTATACTCGAATATTACAACATAGATCTGGCTGATTTCCCACATTCTATCTACCATAAATATGAGGTCATCCAAATGCTTTATTCCAAACCCCACCTTTAGTCCCTTCTCAAATTACATCAGTTCTTTCTGAGTAAAATAATAACTCGTATTCCATTTCAAATCTCTTCATGACCATGCCTCTCTCTGTCTCCCTAATCTACTCTGACTCCATCTTATTTTTACTGGAAGCAAAATACTGTGGATGCTGGCGATCTGGAATAAAAACAGAAAGTGCTGGAGAAACTCAGCGGGTCTGACAGAGAGAAACAGAGATAACCTTTCAAGTTCAATGACATGTTTGGAACTACTACAGTCCTTCAATTCTTGTCTTTTGGGCATCCTTAATTTTAAATGCTACATCACTGGTAGCCATGCCATCCTCTGCCAAGATACTAACTGTGACATTCCCTCCCTAAAACCTTCTGCTCAATCTATCTTACTTTCCTCCTTCACACACTCCCTAAAATATACCTCTTTGAACAAGATTTTAGACCATCTTCACTAACTTTTTTTTCATTTATCAGGCTTTTTTATAATACTTCTATAAACTTATTTGTGATATTTTGTTATGTTAAATAAAGGCTTAATATGAATACAAATTATTGTTGTTTGCTCCCATATCATTCAACAAAACAAAGGTAACAACACATTTCCTGGCACCAGGGCTGCCTCTGACACACCCACGAACAGAATGGGATCGGACAAAATCTGGCCGCATTCTTGTTTGAGAAAGGCAATGTCTGAACACTGGTTTTTAAAGATAAGAAAAAGACAGTTGTAGTGCTGATTGAAAATGGACTAATATACTACTCCATTGCACAATAAAGTCAGATTCTTATGGAACAGATAGAGGCTATTCAGCCTAGCATGCACGTCTTAGCTCTTTTGAAGGAGTTATCCAATTAGTTTCTCTCTCTCTATAGCCCTGTGAATTATTTGCTATTAGAAACCCACTACAAAAAGAAGCATGGATAAATGAGTAGTAAATTGGCAGAAAACAGACAGTATTCATAAATGGGCCTACATCTGATTGGCAGGGTGTGACCAGTGGAGATCTGTAGGGGTCTGTATTGGGACCTCAACTTTTCATAACTTCCAATAATGATTTAGATGATTGGAGCAAAGGTATGACACCTAAATTCGTAGACGACATCAAGGTAGGCAGGAATGATGTGAAGAAGACATAAAGAAGTTGCAGACAGTAATGGATAGATTGAGTGAGTGGGCGAAAATCTGTGAGATGGAGTATAATATAGGAAAATATTGGCAGGAAGAATAAACAAGCATCATACTATATAAACAGAGAATGACTGCAAAACTCTGAAATGCAGAGAGATTTAGGTGTTCTGGTACATGAGTCACAAAAAATTAGTCTTGAGGTACAACTTGTAATCAAGAAGGCTAATGGAATGCTATACATTATTGAGAGGAATTGAACATAAAAGCAAGGATGTTATGTTTCAGTTAGACAGGGCATTGCTAAACCACATCTTGAATACTCGTACGGGTTTTGTCTCCCTATTTAAGGGAGGATGTAAATGCTTTAATGGTATTTCACAGGACATTTACTATTATCTACTATTAACTCTCAATTCTCACTCCATACAGGAATGACACAAATTTTACTTACACTATCTTTTATTTAAATACCTGTAGAAACTCTTGCTATCTGGTAAACTTTCCTTGAATTGATTCCATGCAAGCTTATATGTTATTTTATTGAACAAAACAATTGTATTTGTCATATATGTAATGACATGTAACAAATCAGTGTTGACTGTCTTTAATTATCCCAAGCTAAAATGATTTAATTTCCCATTTATAGACATTTCGGCACATTATCTCCACTGATCAGCAGTGGAGACAGTCTGCTAAAGGAAATGCACCAAAGAGCAGTGGGGCGCTTTAAGACTACATCACGATTGAAAGAAAGTAATATTTGTTTTATCTAGTATAGACCAGATTGCACTACACTACTGCACTACAGTAGGTGGACAATACCACTATCAATCTGAATCAAATTATTTTATGAAAGAATATTAAATTTTAGGGCTTTGTTTAGATGTATCTCTCATGTTCTGCATCAAGGACTACTCCTATACGTAAGCCTTCCTTCCCTACAAACCAAAAGGTGGCCTGATATACACGAGCTGATAATCCAGGAAGTACAGGGGTTGAGCCAAAAATCCTGCACTTTATTCAGATTACTCTGTGGCACAAATCTTCACGCAATCTTCCAGCTTTTAGAAACTGGTACATAAATACTCCGCCAGATCACGGTTTAGTCCATAAATTACAGAATATAATTAGACAGTAGCTATGCATTGACCATAAATACAATAGCAATAAAAATAAAAACAGAATCCCCCTCATCCTCACGTACCACTCCGGATTCAACGCATCATCCCCCGCCACTTCCGCCACTGCAATCTGACCCCACTACCAAGGACATTTTTCCCTCCCCACCCTTATCTGCTTTCTGGAGGGACTGCTCTCTCCGTGACTCCTTTGTCTGTTCCACACTCCCCACTAGCCACACCACCCCTGGCAACTTTCCCTGTAACCGCTGGAAGTGCTACACCTGCCCCTACACCTCCCCCGTCACCCCCATCCCAGGCCCCAAGAAAACCTTCCACATTAAACAGATGTTCACCTGCACACCTGCTAATGTGGTATACTGTATCCGCTGTTCCCGATGTGGCCTCCTCTACATCGGGGAAACCAAGCGGAGGCTTGGAGACCACTTTGTGGAACACCTATGCTCGGTTCGCGACAAACGACTGTACCTCCCAGTCGCGAACCACTTCAACTCCCCCTCCTACTCCTTGGATGACATGTCCGTCCTGGGCCTCCTCCAGTGCCACAACGATGCCACCCGAAGGTTGCAGGAACAGCACCTCATTTTGCTTGGGAACCCTGCAGCCCAACGTATTAATGTGGACTTCACAAGCTTCAAAATCTCCCCACCCCCGACCTCATCCGAAAAACAGCCCACCTTGTCCCCACCCCCGATCTCATCCCAAAACCAGCCCAGCTCATCCCCGCCTCCTTGACCTGTCCTTCTTTTCTCCCACCTATCCGTTCCTCTCTCCTCAACAACACCCCCCACGCCCCAACCTCCTACCTACCGGCCTCATCCCCGCCTCCTTAACCTGTCCGTCTTCCCTTGACTGACCAACCCCCATCCTAACTCCCCACCTACACTCATCTTTAATGGCTCCATCCCCGCCTCCTTGACCTGTCCCTCTCCTCTCCACCTATCTGCTCCTTTATCCACCTTCCATCTACCTCCCCCTCTCTATTTATTTCAGAATCCCCTTCCTCTCCCCCACTTCTGAAGAAGGGTCCACACCCGAAACGTCAGCTTTCCTGCTCCTCTGATGCTGTTTGGCCTGCTGTGTTCATCCAGCTCTACACCTTGTTATCTCAGATTCTCCAGCATCGGCAGTTCCTATCTCTGAATCAAATTTATTTCATCAAAACATAAAATACTATAGAAATGGATCAGAGATTAGGGTTGTAGAGTTTACAGTAATTTTTCACCGAAAATCCTGTGTGATTGGTACCCCAGCACACAAGATTGGGAAATTTAAATATGAGGTAGACCTAAAAGCACTTGCAGTTTTGTGGCATTGGGATATTATGCTCACTTGAGATTCAGTTTACCTGAATCATTCCCTACCTAAAAAACTGGCCTCAACTGCAAGTCAAAATCACAAAATTGCATCTTTTTCTCAGGCATAGAAGAGGCCATAATTTGAAAAGCAAAGAGATCTTGGGCTGTACCAGAATATAAAGATAGAATTAAGTGAGATCTTGGAGGAATTTTAAAACCAGAATGAGAATGTTAAAACTGAAGTGTTGCTGAGTCCAGGGTAGTCAATGTGCACAAGGGTGATGGATGAATGGAATGCGGCGTGAG